GCACATGAGCCCACAGAGAAGGCTCTGAGTGCTGCCTCTGGCACCCATGCCATAGGTTCGCCACCACTGGACTAGACATACCCGGTTTCTTCAATTATCCATTGTATGGTTTAGCCTCCAATCCACTAATCATCTTTGTTGCTTTTCTCTGCACGCTTTGTAGGATGTCATCATCTTTTTTACATTATAATAACCCTAACTGGATCCAATATTCCAAATGTTTCAACAGTATAGTATAAAGTAGTACTATCACTTCACTTCACTATCTCTCTATTGATGCAGCCTAAGACTGCATTAGCTTTTTTGGCAACTGCAGTACATTGCTAGCTCATACTAGGTCTATTAGGACACCTAGATCTCTCTACAGTTATTACTGTTGAGCCAGATACCTTACTTTTTTCACCTCTGAACTATATCTTGTTGGATAGAACTCAAGGCTCAAGCCTGTCAAGATTCTTCTCAATCTTAAGTCTACCATCTAAAGCAGTGATGGCAAACCTTTTAGAGATCGAGTGCCCAAAAACTGGCCCTGCCCCCACTCCACCCCCCTGCCCTGCCCCCATTCTGCTCCCCATGCCCCGCCCTGCCCCACCCCACCTGCCCACAGGACCACTCACCGCCTCCAGGGCCCACCGCAGATCGCCCAGGCAGCCCAACAGTGCTATGGTGGCCACACCCTCTGTCCGCGCCCTGCAGCATCAACTGCATGATGGGGTGTGAGGGCAGAGTCTTGTCTACGCTGCCTGGCTGCCATGTCCTTGGCTGCGCTGCTCCGTGTGGGCCACACTCGAGGGCAACTCTCCTTCAGGGGGGCTGCTGGAGAGGAGGTCATGGGGAGAGGCAAGGCTGGGGCAACGGCATGTGTGCCCACAGACAGGGCTCCAAGTGCCGCCTCTGGCACCCATGCCATAGGTTCGCCACCACTCATCTAAAGTATTAGCTATCCCCCCCTTGATCAAGCCTGTCAAAATTCTTCTGAATCTTAAGTCTATTATCTAAAGTGTTAGCTATTCCCACCCACCCCTCTTGATCTTGTCAGCAAATTTGATGATTTCCCCTTCTATCCCCTCATCTAGATAATTTACAAAGTTGTTGAAGATTACTGGGCCTAAGATAGAACCTTGAGGCACCCCACTGCATCTTCTCTCCATGCAGATGACATTCCATTAAGGATAACATGCTGAGTGCAGGTGGTCAACGCACTGCAAATTCATCACTGTCTATCCCACATTGTTCTCTTTATTGAAGTCTCTTATCAAAGGCCTGAAAATATTTATAATTAAATGAAAGATAACCTAGGAACAGGAGAAATTTATTGTGGTTGATTTGATGATAAAAATCATCCTGGAATGAAATGAAAAACTTACTGAGATGAAAAACAATTACAGAGCAAAACATCAATCAGCTCCTTATTTTAACAATGAACCAAAAGTGATGGGATTAATTCTATTTTTCTTTTTTGTTTTTCTCAAAGAGAATCCTTCTTCCTACTTTCTTATGAATTAAAACTACTTTTTCCCCGTGAAATGTAGGAAGCAGTTGCTTAGAAGTAAAAGTCCACTGGGCCAATATTCATTTCTTATGGGAACCAAGCAGCCTAATCTTCTCCTTTGATCCTGTCTTGCATTTCCCCAGGCATTTATTTATGAAATGCCTTAATTACTATATGCTAACAATATTTTTGTCCACAAAAAATATTAATGCAATGGATTTCTATTCAAGATACCAGTTTCTCCAGCCTGAAGATGACGAATGGGACTTCGTCGAAACATCGCCAAGACACTTCCAATTTTACACAGGAGAAAACCCGAATAACCAAAGACCCACACACACACATATATATAAAACACCTCCTAGAATACTGGACTGTCTTCATATAGTTGTATGGAAATCCTTGGCTGATAATTACTGTTTGATTTATAACATCATATTATGAAGCAAGAGTTAGATTAAACATGAAAGAGTAGAACTGTTGATGTCAGGGAAACTATAGTTAAAATTATTTTGCAGAAGGATTCCAAGTCTATCTACAGTCCCCTGGTTGGGATCTGGCCAAGAAATTGCTTTAACTTGAAGACAAAGTTCATTCGCAGAAGGCTACATTATCAGAAATATAGGTCTTCAGTGAAAACGTGCTTCTTTCTGTTGTAGCCTGGGTCATGCTGTACTGTTAGACTTGCACAAAAGTCTGGTCAGAATATGGTCCTCACATTGGAACAAGAGTGAATAGTATGAATGCCATTTTACAGGGTTTGTAGCACTGGTGGGATTCAGCTGGTTCGCACCAGTTCGGCAGAACCGGTAGCTAATTTTTTGTTGCCCAGGCCCAGAATGGACTTCCAGAAGCAGCATCCACACAGAGAGACGATTATTCACATATTTGAATCCCACCACTGGTTTGTAGTATGTTCTCACTAGAACCTGCTTAATGTACTGAAGAAATGAATTGATCCTGGGTAAATCTCCACAGCCTTCAGATGTTTCCAATGCACACTGAAAATAAACTTTCTTTCTTAGAGCAAAGAAGAAAGACAACAAAGATATAATGAGAGAGATTTAAGTTAATGGAGATCAGTTAAAATACAGAATTATTTTTCAAAGTCTGAATTTGTATGTGATAGATAAATGCAAGGAATGGGTAACAGTATTAGACTATATTTTTACATAGCCAGTCAGGCACAATGAATACATATCTCTGCATGCATAAATATTAATGGTTGCATTTTAAACTATTCAGTAACATCCAAACAAATCCAATCTTTAATCATTGCCTTTTAGCTTATGGTTTCATAAGTGACTTTATTATAACAAAGTCTTTAAAAATAGCAACTCAAATTTGGTATTTTGATATTTTACAATTAATTTGTAACATTAATTGTAACAAATTAACCAAGAAAAAGGGATTTGTAACACCCCCTTTTCTTGGTTCTGCTTCTGTGATGCCTACCCTCCATCCTATCTGCTCCCCTGGGCACCAGTTCAATAATCTTAATTTCTGTAATTCACCTTTGAAAAGGTAAGAAAATGGCACTCTGCAGTACTACTCATGTTAGATCAGCTGATTCACTTCTTGGGAATGTACTGGAGAAAGAATTATCCTGTTGTTATTAAGAATAGAAATATTTATTTAATTAGACAACCTGCCATAGATTAGCATCAGAAAATCCACTATCCTAGAATCAATAGACTTCTGGGAAGCAAATGAGCTACGATTTTCAGCCTTAAAAGGGCTTCTACCACAACAAGGCCACTCTTTCTATACGGGAGACAACCTCCAGCCAATGGCATGATGTGTCCAAAACAAGCTGAAGGAGGATGACAACTATTAATTTGAAATGCTATTTGTGGCTTTCTTGAGAAAAAGTTGTTGAAACACTGTAATTGGCAGCTCACCTTCTGTTTTTCCTGTTCTACTTGCTCTTTTAAGAGAGGGTTGGTGCCCCATAATACAGTATCATTCTGATGAGACGCAGGGTGAGCCAACCAAGCCAGACTACAAGTATCAGAATAATAGCTCTGGGGAAGTTTCACCACAGTCACTGTCCATCAGAATTTTTAAATGCTTCACAGTGCCGGCTGTTCCCAGTTATTCTTTGGTTTCTGAGTGCACACTCTCTTCCATAAGCTCCATTACAATGCATAAGAACTATACAAAAGAACTATCATTTTTACAGGGAATGGGAACGAAACAATGCCAGAAATTATTGTACCATAGTTGTTCAAATACAAGTAGTTCTCAAGTTATTATCCTTCATTCAGAGATTTTTTTGAAGTTACATATACCCAGTCCTCAAAGTTCTGGCCATTGCAGTGCCCCTGCAGTCAGAGGCACAAAATTTGGTACTTAACAACCTTGCAACATCGCAAAGTCATGTAATTGCTCTTGCTGACCTTCTCTGCTGGCTTTCCACAAGCAAAGTTAATGAGGAAGCTGGCAGGAAAAGTCAAAGGCTGCTAGAGTATATCTCCCCTCACAGGCCTTCCTTTGCTTGCATGAATTGCATCCTTCTTTCCTCTTTGCTTGCTTGCACCTATCAGTGTCATGCCATGGCTTCCCTGTACTCACTCACTCACACAAACCCCACATCTCCTTTCTCACTTCCCTGAGCTCACAACACACACCCTGGGCCCATTTCCCAGCACACATGCCACATGCACCCCACACCCTCTTTTGCTGCCCTCCTTGAGCTCATGTTTCAGCACCACAACTTGCATACAATTGAAGCCTCCCCCCACCCCCTGAACATTTCCATGTTCCTTACCTTGCGTTCCCTGTTCTGTTTAACGACCTGTGTGACTTGGAGTTACAACTGGGGTTGCCGGGCTTGTTGTTAAGTAATGTGGTCACATGATATTGCACTTTATAACCATATCGCTCAGTGATGGCTATCCCAATCCCAACTGTCTTGGTAACTTAAGGAATACATTTACTCAGAGAATTTGGGATTCCTTCTTTAAAGTGTTTTTTTGAGGTCTTGGAAAAATTGGTTAAGAAAATAGAAATGTTTTGGCTATTTGCTAAATCTTAATGTAGTTAGGGTTTTCTGTTTCTTCTATCAATGGCTTTTGAGCAAAGACTTCCATTCTTTAAGAATAAACTTTATCTAAACAGAGGACTCTTACAAAGCATAAAGACATGAAAATAATGATACATTTATCATGTTATGCTTGTACTCCCACACCTGATGCAGATATATCAGTGATATCTCTTACACAGTGTCATGGGGCATGGTATGATTTGCCCCCTTCTGCCTTATATATGCTTATATTACACATAAAAAACTGATTTATTCTTTTCTATGCCTGGAATCTGAAGAGGAGACCAAAGAAATGGTGGTAAGATAAGCAACTCTACCACCTTCTGCAAATAAACAGTCTCAGGGGATGCATTTGTGGTGGATGAACTGATATGAAAATCAATAATTGTGCTGATTGTATTAATGTGAAGTGCTGCTTTGGGAAAGTGCAAATGAAAAGAGCACTGGGACCAAGTAACAATATAAATTACAACTCAGTTTTTTTATTTGTAGAAAAATTATAAAATAAATAAGTCATTGAGTTGTGTGAATATATTAAATAAGAAACACATTTACAATAATAGAAAACCTCTATACTTACATATTTACATTAAAAAAAAATCTAAAAACCATGTTTATCTTACATACAAGTTACTATCAGCTAACATAAGGCTATGTAGATTATTTTGATATAACTCCCATTACATTTCATAGTTTACTTAAACATGTGCATAGAACTAAAACTTGAATTAAAATACCTCTTTGTGGAAGCGGTTTAGATCTGTAGAGAAAACATTGAAGCTAATAATATTGCAAACTAAATTCAAGATGCTTTATCTTGCTTTTTAATACTCTTTATAGAAAAATCCCATGGAAGTTGATAGTACAGTAGTATGTTCACATTGATCTTTGTTTTATTTAATAAATATTGTATCTGTAATATATATTTCCATAGTTTCATTATTTGCTCTTATATGGTAGAAGATACTCAATTTCAGCAAAGCTTGGCTCACAGCAATTCTTTCATCCCACAGAAGATGGGGGAGAAGCAGTTCTCACTAGTTAGTTAATTTTTTTTGTTTGGTATGAAATCTGGAGTCTGATAGAATTTTTTAGTTGGAAAAGGGGTTATTAATGGGCATAAGCTTTCATCAGCTGCAGTTCACTCAAGCAAAAGCATGTGGTGGCTGGATTGATGTAGGATTTAACTTAGAGCTAAGTGGGAGAAAAAGACAGGTTGGCCATGCAGATACTGGTTACGTGTGAAATTACTAGAATATTGATATGGTAGTAGATAAGAGCCAGGGGGAACAAGCATGAGAAAACAACAATAACAGTGCATTTGTTTAAAATAAAGTCTTTACATTAACCAAATCTCACAATTCTTATTGCTGAAAACATACCTTAAAACATAAAAGGGAAAATTGAATATTCTGGAATAGCTATGTTGCAGATCTTAAGGATTAGACTAATCTCAGGAAACAAAGCCACCAACAAACAACTCAGTTGGTTGGTAGTTTTGCAAACTGATTGCATCTCCCCAAACACATGTTTTAAAACCAGAGCAGCAACTTGGAAACCGCTCCAATTGCTTATGTACTTTCTAATGAGACAAAGCTGCATTCAACACTGGCACTTCTGGCCTGGCACATTTTCATCGAGCAAGCGGGAATCCTCCAGATGACAGGGTTGGAGGTGTGGGAGAAACAAGGCACGCCCTGTACCGTTTGTCCCGGTTGGGAGTCATTGAGCTCTTTAAGCAGCGTGAGAGACTTACTCAAAGCAGCTCCATTTCTGCCTTTCACCTTCATGGGTGTGTGTGGAACACAGCAAAGAATACAATCACAAGTGCCTTTCAGATTAATGCTTTCTCACATACTCTCTCATTTCTCACATACCTTTCATTTCTGTGAAAGGTAACATGTGCAAAAAAAAAAAAAAGAGAGAAAAAGAAAAAAAGAGAAGTATATGGGGCAGCGGCCATTTGGTATTCTCCCACAATTGAGCAGTGCTGGCTGGTGTGCTGGCTGTTGTGAAACCAAAGCTGTTCATTCCTGCACATGCAGTTGCATGCTGACAATCGCCAAGAAAGGGGAGGGGAAAGGACCACCCTCCTTGCAGCACACCTCTGGCTTGATGGCAAACAAAGTTTCAGGTTTGCTCTGATTTCTTGATTTGAATTTTTCAGAGATGCCTCCATGAATTAGTATGTGCTTCAGCGACAGCTTCTTTATTCTTTGGAAGAGGCAATCATGGCATTAGCAGATGGGACACTGATTTCTGGAAAGCTGAACAAAGGAGGCATGCATTACATACACTACTAAACTTAGATTTTGTTAAAAGATCTTGGGGATAACTCAGGGATTTGGGTGACTATACAAGGAGCATGGTGTTATGGTTGGAGGTTAGCAAAGCCCACACACGAGACCTGAGAGCTGCTGCATGGTGGTAGGCTCCTGTCATTTGCTCCAACTCCTTGACTTGGACATGAAAGGAGCCCCCAGGAGCATCCCCCAGGCAATGGTGATGTCATGGTTAATCCTTTCAATCCAGAAGCACCTTAAATGGTGCCTCTTGACATGAATGGATGGGACGGGAGGTGACTGTGCAAACTGAACATCATCTGGGACCATCTGATAAACTTATCATAACTCAATTTTTCCCCTGTATATAAAATTTTAAAATTATCAAGCCACTCAGCTGTGTGAACATACTATATTCAATAAAAAGCACATTTATGATAATAGAAATCTCTGTGCTTACATACTGACAGGTAACAAACTCTAAAAATATGGTATTTATGTATATTATAACTTGAATTATGAAAATGATTTATTTCTGAACTAATCTAATTTTTGCCCATCCATCTCAACCAAGAACCTTTTGCAAAACTTGTCAGAATTCTGGCTGGCAGGATAGACATTATTGGATGCAGTTATCAGTCAGCTGGGTAGAGAGTTTGTTTTTTTTAAGCCTCAGAAATGTTGTACATTTGATGACTTATCAAGTATCTTTGCAATTATAGTGCTTGATTGTATAGCTTCTACAATTTTTCAGAAAATGCTCTATGTTACACATAAAGGAAAGACTTATTTGTATCCTAAGTAAGGCCCTTATGCCTCTCATGAAGCTCATCTCCAAGAAGGTGGAATAATTGATAGGGATACTAGGCAAGTAGAGTACAGCTAGTGCTCAACTTACAACTGCTTGTTTAGTGATAGCTGGTATAATTTGAAGTTACAATGGCAGTGAAAAAAGTGACTTATGACCGTTTTTCACACCGACGACCTTGTAGCACCCCCAGTCATGTGACCAAAACTCAGAGGCCTGGCAACTGGTTCCTATTTATGATGGTTGCAGTGTCCTGGAGTCATATGGGACAAAATTCACTTAACTACTGTCTCATTTAGCAACATAAATTTTGGGCTCACTTGTGGTTGTAAGTTGAGGACTACCTGTAAGAAAAAGAGTATATTTCTTTATTTCAAATGTGAAATATGTCCATACGGTAGTATTAGAAAATAGGTTCATGCTAAAAGATAATGACTTTCTTAAATTCATTGGATGAGTTTTAAAAAGTAACAAGATTTCTGTTTTGGATATCTTGTATGGATATATGTAGCTCAGTCACTAAATTGTGTCAGCTGTAACACATAGCCTCATAATATGATAGAGCATTGATAAAGAAAAAACAAATAGCTATAAACTTCTGGAATTGGAAGAATAGTGTAAGATATAGTTAAAATAATCCTTACCTTCATTTTTTTAGACATTACTACTGGGAATTCCATTTTCTTTTTTGAGATTTCTCCTTTCCTCAATTTCATTATAGTTAGTGCATTTTTTTCTTACCCTGAATAATAAAAACACCCATCTCCATCACTTTGTGGAATTATTTTGCATTTACGTTGTTCAAGGACAAAATGATTTTAAATTATAGGCATGGTAAAGAAAAACTGTGACATATCAGGTTCCGTGCTCCATTTAATTTTTTTCATTTGTGAGTCGCCAAGCCACCATGGTACAAAGCTTTTGAATGAGCAAACCTCATCTAACCATGCAACTACTGTTATTACAACAGTCTGTCAACATTTCAAATGCTCCTCCAAGCCTAAAAATTTGGGGGGCATCTATTTTGGATATAAAAGAGTTTGGCATGTTTAACAAGCAAAAGAAACAGTAGATCATTCTTTCTCTAAAAAACCCCAAACAAACCAGACATTAAATTTGCAAGAATTAAAATAGACTAAAGTTTCAGAATTTCTGCATAAATAGAATGGTACGTCCAGTTGAACAATGGGGCGAGCAGTTTCCTACTTATGGCCCTGTAATTTAGATTTCAAATGATCAATAAGTCTCAAAAAAGCCTTGCAATGACACAATGCTATCACCTGAGGAGAACATTTTTGTTCCAATGTTTCACAATTTTGGGACTTCAAGAAAGTTAAGGGAATGGAAGCATTTTATTTCTGCGGGACCTCACATTCCCATCCCTCATCTTTAGCATTTTTACCTTAAAGTCATACTTTAATGGCAAAATTAGGAATTTGGGGTGGTGGTAGGGAAGTTCAGCAACACAGAACCAAAGCTTCCAAACTGTAATGACCAATTTACATCGGAATCTAAGTCAAAATTATTTATTAAATGTTAAGATAGGCAATGTGTTACATGCATAATATTGTCACACGGCCAGCATTTAGATGATAGAGACTGGACTACTGCATGTGCCACAAATTGCTATAAAATGGGCTACAGTTTGAGCAAAATATTAACACAAATGATTGGGAAAAGGAGGCAACTGGGGAAAGGAAGTGATACAGGTTCAAGTGCAGTATAATTCCTCTTAGGATGAGAGCTGTGCAGTGGTGGAGAAATGATAGGGGCCAAATCCTTGCCATTGCAATTGTCACCAGATGAATGTTTAATTGAGGTGGAGATTTCATCTGTGAGCTATAGGTTACAAATATCATTGTGTGTGTCTGTGTATGTACAAACACACAAACATAAAATGGTCATAGTTCTGCAGTATGGAAACTTAGTTTATGTGGTCCTTGATATGAAATCTACAGGACCTCACATGAAGTAGCTCAGTAACAGACTTTACATAATGGTGATATGGGGAACCTGATGTGCTGTTAAGATCGGTAGCAGCTGATAGCAGCTAAAACATTATTTCACAGGAGTGAAACTTAAAGCAATAAGCATTTGCTAATGGTCCCAAACATAAAGCTCAGTTAAATAAGATTAAATAGTGCTGAAATTTCACTTTTCTCCTGCCACTGAATTCTGTTACAAGACTATTTTTCCACAGTAAAACACAACAGCCAAAAACACAACAGCCTTAATTTGTTAATTATTTGAAAACCATACTTGCTAATAATTTTGGAAGTCACCAATCTACCATTTATTATACCTTAATTAGGCTTGTCTGATACATTTACTTCATAGGACTAGATCCAAACTGAATCATAGCTAGAGTAAACACTCTGAAATAATTAAAATTAAATGTTAAGTTTCATCAATTTCAAGCTTAATATATCTCATAAAATCAAAAGGATACATTAGCTGTTTCCATTGCTCATTTCTTATTGACTTAATGAAATAATCACCTGTTAAATATAGTTTAATCTCCAGGATTATGATATGCTGAATTTCAGTGTGTCCATACTGGTCTGTCCGCTTACACTATTCATTATTTTATGATGTTCCAAATGGCTCTTGGAGGTAAAGTGAGGTAAATACTGCTTTACAAAATTGGCCCAATGTATTACTCCATATAATTAAAGTTAAGGATAGAACTCAGTTTCACATTTTTCCAATTTACATTTTTGTATCCTATTTCTGACTCAACCTATATATGTACTGTGATGTACGTTTTCTCTAAAATACTATTTTTTGTGAAAGGTTTCTTAATATATATATTATAGCACATACTTTTCACTCGAGTGTACTGCAATATTCACAAAATGGAGTCACCAGTGTATGAATATAGTGACCATGTTTCATAAATGTATATTTAGAAAGTATCGATTAGCACCAAAAATCCTAATTCTAGCAAGCAATTTTACAAAACTTTAGTATTTTGTTGTTGAGTACATTAAGTATCACAGATATCTATCAGTCTTTTTGCCACTATTTTATTACTTTTATTATTTTCCTTGGTTTAACTAGGGGGTTTAAATAACTTGACTTACTGTTCAGTGATGATAATTATAATGATGGCAAAACTGACCACCGCAAAGAAAACTGATGCTACCACAACTTCTATTTTTAAGACGCTAGTTTCATTATTGGTCCTTTTTGTCTTCAAAAATTGTTCCACGCAACGTTCACCAAAGTAATCTGGGTGGCATCTGAAAGTAAATCATGAAATGCACAATTATTTTGTGCATCACTGCTAGTCTAAACCTATATAGAAAACTGAAATGATGTTCAAAGTATCTCCAGGTACATCCACTGTATTCCACTGCTTAATTCCCTCTGTGTTAATTTCAAATTCAAACAATAGTTTCAATTCTTGATAATTTTGGTGGAAAACATCAGGAAAGGCAACTTCATTTTCATATGAGGCCATAATGCAACAACTCCATGATCTTTTATGCATATAGTGGGACATTTTAGTTGAATCGGGGATATAGGTAGTCCTTGACTTATAACCAGCAACTTAATGACCATTTGAAATTATGATGGGCCCGGAATGAGAGTTTTGTAGCCACTTTAGGCCATTGTAAAATGTTTCTCTCTCTCTCACACACACACACACACACACTGCAGTCACATGACTGCATTTTGAGAATTCGGCAACTGATTTGCCTTTATAATCCATTGCAGTATTCCATGATTATGTGACATGATTTGTAACTTTTTTGCTAGTTTCTGGGGGGGGGGAAGTCATTCAGAAGAATATGTTTGCACTTACAACCATGGTGCTCAATTAACCATCATGGATTTACCTAATTACCACAGTGATTTGCTTAACAATCACTGCAAAAATGTTGTAAAATCAGGCCCAATCACGTGGGTGCATCAGCTTACAACCGTAATGACTGACGACTGGAAATCCTGTCCCAATTGCGGTCATAAGTCAAGGACTACCTGTAGTAATATAACAACAGGAGCATTTCAGCTACAGAATAGTGCATGGAGCTTACGTATGTTAGTTCTCCTCCCCCCTACCAAAAAAACCCGGAAACTTGGTTCTGTCACTGGTATACGTTCGTTGGGCTTCTAGAGGTCTTTGATTTGCCCCTGAGGAACAAGAAGTTCTGAGAAAATCACAGAAATTCACTTCATGGGGTATATGCCATTTATCTGAGCAAAGGCCTAGCAGCACTCATCTCCAGATTCCTGAAGTTTCATTGCAGCTCACTCGGGATAAACTTCATTTGTTGCACTGTCATAAACCATAGTTTACAGCCATAAATGCCTGCTGCACATAACTCATCATACACCAACCAAAAAAATTACACCTTGTGAATTCAATCCAGATTAATGGAGGATGTATACATACAAGCAATATAGTGACCAGAGCCACTATATTACTTTTTGTTTATGCTTCCAGAACACTGGTGGTTAGGGAATTAATATTTTTAATATATCCTGTTTCATCACTCTATTAATAACTCTGTGAGAGAATAATATTTTCAAGTGCCATCTATGGCAACATATTAGTTACCAAAATAGAGATACCAACAGTTTTATCAATATTTGCAATTTAACTTACGTGCAAACAGGTATTAGAAATTGTTCGATGTATCTGCATTCACCATGAACACAAAAACCTTTATATTTTCCTTCACATGGAGTTTTAATTTTCCTTTTAGTTTTCTTCTCATGTCCTTTTCTTTTGGGTTTGTTAGGGTTCTTTTTTCCACCATCTAAATTTGCCGGATTCTTAATGGGTGGTTTCTCTGTAAAATATTAATTATATTTAATTTCTGCAGAGACACAGAGTGCTATTGTGTTCAAAATGCTGGTCTAAGAGAAGGAGGACCTAAGTTATAGCAATCCCTGAGGCACAGAAACCACCTGAGTGACCTTGAGCCTTTCTGCCCAAAGGAGTAGAAATCTGCCTGATAAACAAAACCCTTGTTGCAAATGCCCACTGACAGCTTCACTGTAAAAACTAGGTGAGCACTGTGCAAAAACAAGTGGACCCTGCATGAGGGAAACATGCCAAGAAAAACAACAGACTAAATTGGCATCTGTCTTTGCTGCAGTGAACTCACCGGAAGACATCTACTAGCCTTATTATATAGGTAATTCAAAGAAAGGGGCTTGGATTGGCTGAAAGATGGAAGAAAGATTTTAATCTCAGATAGCTGTTGTTCTGATCATAATAATACTTTGATTGCAAGTACAGTTATAAAGCTGTCATAATTGCAACCAAGCATATATGTACACAATGGCTATGTTCATCTGTAGTGGTTATTTGTCATGAAAATCCATAAATTTTAGTCAACTCTGGGATTTACCTTAAACAGTCCCAGGTTTGTATTAATTAGCCCTTAATGAACCATTAGCCCCATTAGCTATTTTATGCAAACACTGTAGCCTAGTAAAAGTAGTTGTCCACCCTCATCTACAAAGTTACAACTTGGAGCTCCTCTACAACATTTATCTTAAACGCAGTGAGTCACTGTGATTGGGGATAGCAGTCTCCTTTGCTATTGGTTTTCTTCCCTAGGATGCTGGACCACGATCAGCAGTGACAATGGTTTGTAGAAAGCTCATGGAATAGCAGGCATTTCCAGAAGAAAATTAATGGGAATCTGCATTCCCAAAATGACTTCTGATGTGTGAAGACATATTGCCAGAACCATTGCTAATGGTTAACTGGGTTAAGCATATTATGCAACTATGGTTTGTGCCAGCAATTCTACTGCAACAAGAAAACAAATTCAAGAAAACATGCAGTTTTCTACATGCTAAAGTCAATTTGCTATTCTAGTCAGTGAAATATCATGTTCTCATAATTAGAAGCAAGAGTTAGCTATATCTCTGGAGTGAACAAGAATAAGAAGAATTCATTGATGATCTTGATAAAGATAAATATTTAAGTAAAGTTTTGATTTGGTGCAATTATTTCACATTTTTAAAAATTTCAAAAGCAGGAAAGAGAAATGGGATTTGTAATAACTTCTGTTTTTCTAAATGTAATTAAAGTCAGTGTGCAAAACATTTTAATATAGGCAGTCTTTTCTTATTTCTCTGTGCAATAAAGTCAAAACTAATAATATAAACACTACTGCTCAGCAATAAGATAAATTAAATAGACATTTAACAATTGTAATGAGGTGTGGTAATATGGTTAACCCCAAAGATATTTGCATTTCAGAGGGGTTTAAAAAATCAGAGTAGATAATTATGTGGTTTTAGACATGGTTTCACAATGATCTGCCTATTCAAAAATGCATATTGTGGGATTGAGACTATGATTTGCAATAGATTTCTCATTTCTAATCAGCATAAACAGTCTGAATGAATTATTCATCTCTCCCTGACATGATTCCACTTACAGGTAGGGTATAGTCAATTCTCTAGCTCAAAGGTGATTTGAAATCATAATGAAACAACTTCTGGTTTTGTTTAATAGCCTTTAATGTTAAAGCTTTATGGCCAACTCACAACACTACCTACATTCACATGCAGCGGAACTCTAACATTTTGATGATTCTTGGTTATTATATATTGGCACTATATACCACCCTTATGGTGTCCATTTGGCTTTTCCCATCAGCAGGAGTGGTTAAACTACAAGGGGCAAGCAACCTGAGGGCCTCCTGATGTTTTGGACTTGAAATCCCAAGAGGCTTGCATGGCCAATGGCAAGGATTATGGAGGTTGTAGTTCAAAACATCTGGGGACTCCAGGTTGTCTCCTCTAGCTTATCAAGTTGCGTGAACAGGTTCTCAAGGACCTACAACCCTTGTCTTGGAAGAGGCATATTGGGTCAAAAACCTTAGTGAATTTTTAATCTCAGTTATTTTAACCTACCTTCCTCACATCTAATACCCTCAAGATGTATTAAATTATAACTCCAGTGTAACTATTGGGGAATGATGGGAACTTGCTGTTACTCAACTGGAGGGCATATAAAGGCTGATTAAGCTCTTTCTATAATAGAAGGACCTAAATAGGAGAGAATGAGTCAGGAACTCATGAATAATACACCAGAATTCTCCCTCATTACATATGAGCATAATCACAAAGTTGTAGGCTTGAATCCATTTTTCCCAAGTAGTCCAAAGTAATATGGAATAGTTTTTTTTTCAGTTTTATTTTCATAGCAGCCCTTTATGTTATATCTGACTTAGAGAGCATGATTGATCTGATATGTGCCAAAAATGTATTCTGTGAAGGAGGCATTTTCTTATTTGCAGTTTGTCAGGAACAGGTCTGGCAACCCAAGAGCTCCTTCCTGATCATACAGACTCTGCTTATTATGCTCTAGCCCAAAAATGTGAAGGGTTGTGCCAAACCTTCTTGTTCTAGAAAAGAATCTGTTTTTCTATTTAAATTACCACATCAATAAAGTCTGTAAACACCATAACTCTTTATAACTTCTTTCTGGGAAGGAAGTCAACTAACCTGTGATGAGACGTACATCTAGGGAGGAACTATGGTTATCCTGGTTTACTTAATCACTATCCAAAGGGATAAACATTAATATATAACAGGCAAATAGTATATATAATTAGATAGAGACAGAGATAGATAGATAGATAGATATAGATATAGATATAGATAGTTAAGGCTAAGTGATGCATTAAATGAGTAGTGAGAAAAGGCCATGAAACAAATTACAAAATTCAAGCATCAGAGAGCAAAGGTTACATGCAATATTCTATTAAGCATATAATTCCAGCTATGTAATTTTACTTAAGTCTGATTAATTTCAATTAAGTACAAAGAAATTTGCATGCATATTCTGCATTAATAGCACCTTTGCCAACACATTGATAATTTCTAAAGCATCCAACTAAATCTACTTACTCTGCAATTTGATTTAACTGTTTAATTCAGTCATGATATTCAAGCAAACATATCTCAGTTTAAAGAGATATTTAGCTCCTTCTTTTACTTAAATAATTGAACATTATAGAAACGTCTATCTTTAAGTAAGTATAGTTTTCCAATGGGACTGAACTGAGGAACTACAGGAATTGTTTCTATGTAAGCCCAAATATTAGGTAATCAGCTGAAGTTGGCTTTTGTATAAAAGAACTTCCAAAACATTTGCTTTTAATATTTTTAAATATTGTAATCCAGATTAGTCACCCTACAGAAACTTTTGTATATTACACAGTATAATCAGAATAGATCATAAAACAACATGCTGAATATTCTTTTAAAATAGCAGGGTCTTGCAATCTAAACAACTGGGTTTATGCCATGCAATTAAAATAACAAAACTAAAAGTTGAGAGATCAGATTTAAGTCTTCATTTGATCCTGCACTACTTAGATCCTATTTGGTGACATTTGTAGCTCTTGACCTAAATACTGTATGGATAACCTGATAGAAAATTCCCACAGACGCCATCTTGATCGCTTAGAAGAAAAGTGATATATATATACTTGTAATAAGATACAAATAATATAATTTGTCATCCTAAAATAAATGATACTAATTCCTTGTTAAAACTTTATTTTACATGAATAAGATAACTAAATTAACCTATTCAACAAAAATATTTACTTGAGTTAATGTCCATGATTTAAAAAGTGTGCTGCAAATATTTATTTATACGTCATTTTTCTTAACTGCCCATCTCTAACCCTTTATCATCAATAAAATTAAATTAAAATCAGAATAATGTAGGATTAAAGGCTTTAACATTTTTAAAACATTATAAAAAATTCAGAAGATGAAGCATTCCAAGACTGGGGATTAACAGTTTTTAATACAAACAGGAAGGGGACATTTCGCATGGGGCCAGTCAACCCCATGGTTGTGTGGGCCTTGGGTTAACCACATTTTGACTCCTTTATGTTATTGTAATTAAAATTCATATCATTTTTCTCTTGCATTTTGTCTGACAAATACTTATTGGGCAACATTAATATTTTTATCCACAGCTGCTTTAGGCTAGAGATGTACATTGATCCTAAGAATTCTGAGTGTTTTCACTGCCTGTTCTTCTGTCCATGTTCACGGGTATCCTAAGCACGACTGAGAAGTAGTAATGATGCTTGTGGCACTCACCCAGTGAATGCACAACAAATAACATAGCAAACCAGGGCCATCTGTGGTTTGCTACTCCCTCTCCTTTTTGGTTGATATCTCAAAAATCTTGGTACACTAATTGATACTTCCTGTTCCTTTTTCAGTTTTTGCCATCAATATTGGACATCTGTGAATAGAATGGGAGTAAAGCTAATGTTTCCCCTTGTTTCTAAAACAGAGGTAAAAAACAAAGATGAAGCAGTTGGAAATGCTGCTCCAGGACCAGCTCTGCTAAAACTACTGTAGCGCAACCAGCATAAACATGCAATTATTAACTCAAATGATTTATAAGAAAGATATTCAATTTGACTCAATTAGAAAAAAAAATTATGAACCAAATACTTTGAAGCTTAAATACATTGGCTTGGGAAATATGAGTATATATTAATGACAATAAATTATATTCATATTCCTAAGAAATAATATTTGATTGAATTTCTGATTTTCTACATTCTGATAAATTGATCCAATCTGATTTTAATATCTAAACTCTTAATTTTTTCATTCACATTAAGTATCCATCAATAAGTTCAAAGAGAAAATATGCCTTTTTCTTATGGAAATGGGAAAAATGGAAAAATGGAAAAAAGTCCATTTTACTATGAATATTAATTCCTTCTTAATATTGCAATGAAAGCCCAAATGAAGTAGAATGGAATGGCTGATACTAAACTACTTCAAAAGAAATATAAATCAGAAAAAAGTTAATTCCCCCTAAAGTTATATCAGAGGAAATAAATTCAGGTTTTATTTGAACATGTCTCAAATTAAATTTATTTTTATTGACATATTTTATTTGTTTGTTAAATTTATTTGGGACCCATCTCACTGTGGGGCTACTCTGGCAGCTTACAAGAGTAAAATAGAAGAATTGATAAAAATGTAAACATGACAATAGTAAAGTAATGAAACAATACAAATAAACAATGAAAGTACAACAATATGAATTAAAGATGGTTAGATGGGGGGGGCAGGAAGTGCAGGCGGGAGGTGGGGTCAGTTAATTAGTCCAATAACCATCTCCAGTGAGATTCTCTTCCATAGGGTTCCCAGGCCAACTGGCAGACCCGCATCTTCAGGACAGAAAGATGGGGGCAACCTCACGGTGGGAGGAAGAATTAAAATGTTCTGCAGAACCAGCGTTACAGCAGAGAAGTTTCCTTTATATACTTTATACACCTCTTTGTTTTGCTGGCAGATGCTTATCTCTTTCTAACTTGGAGCCGTAGTGGCACAGTGGTTAGAATGCAGTATTGCAGGCTGATTTTGCTGATTGCCAGAGTTCGATTCTCACCAGCTCAAGATTAACTCGGCCTTCCCTCTTTCCGAGGTCAGTAAAACAAATACCCAGATTGTTGGGGGCAATATGCTGGCTCTGTAAACTGCTTAGAGAAGGCAGTAAAGTACTATGAAACGGTATATAAGTCTAAGTGCTATTGCTAGCGCTATTATGATTTTGAAGAATCAAAATAAACAATATAGTAATATTAAAAAGGCTTGTTTTATGTCTTCAAATTTCCATTCACTCCAATACATATTACATGGGGGTTTGGACAAAGTATGTTTATAGTGCAAGTTGGATGATCTAATACAATACAGACTATTTAAAAACAGAATAATTCCTTATATTTCATTTCAGTATTCCATTGTTTGTTTGTTTTTTGAAGATTTAAATCTCAAGGAGACAGTAAAATCCATTTATTTCTTCCTCAGTAAATAAGCTTCATTTTGGTCAAAAAGCCATTTTTACTACAGTGAGAAGTTGAAACTTACATCGTGAACACAGTAATTGTATACTATTAACTATTTGTAAAAAAAAATGTTCTGGGATTTTTAGCTTCACCAAAGTTTCTTGAAAGACATATTTTGTCAGAGCTTCTTGAAGCACATACTAAGTACCAAATACTAAAGTTCCCAGGATATCTTGAGAAAAATAGATTGGTTGTAACATTATCTTAAATTTATATTGTAGAGGTATGGTTGGGGTTCAGAAACCAACTTCATCCTTTCATCCAAAATTCCTTCTTACTTGCCAATGATATATATGCTATAGAAGAATCTTCAAATTCTTGGAAAGTGCTACCCAATCATTCAGATGATTAATATTATAATAATTGTTTAACAACAAGCATGAGACTATTGATTTATTTAGAAAGGGAAAAAGAAACAAAACCCCAGCATTTTTCATAAAGACTCCATTGTGCAGATATAAGTTTATTAAATACCTTCTTAGACATATCCATTTTCTGGGATCCTTGGTGCTCTCTGAGCTTTGTGGTTTTCTTTCAGACATTTCGTTACCAAATTAGATAACATCATCAATGCTCTGAGAAGCATGAAGTACTCTGAGTTATCTAGTTTAGTAATGAAACATCTTCAAGAAAACCACCAAGTTCAGAGAGCATCAAGGACTCCTCAGTTCAATCCTGGGCTATAAATATTCTCTTCCACCGTACATCCATTTTTATCTGCAATCCATTTTATCTGGATTGCATGGATAAAAATAAAGGAAGAATAGGGTTCTACAAGAGTAAATTCTAAGAAAGCCCTTGCCTTATTAAAAGAGACAAAGCAACAGCTCTTTATAAAAATTGCATTGGTGCCTCAGTCCCAAATGAGAGGAACATGATGGGCAGGCACTCTATATTTTAACCTACCTCTTCCTGCATCATTCACAAGGAACTGAGATTCTCTCACTTCCTTCACATTATCTTTAGTCTCTTCAGCCTCAATTCCTGATGATAATTGATCAGTGGAAGATATGTTGAATGTGTTGAAGTTGGGCATGCTTTGCTCATCTTTTCTCACATTTAGCTCTGATCCAGAAGCATGCTGGAAGACTGTGGAAGAGAAATGAAAGAAATGGATACCATTCTAGCCAGTCAGGCAAAACTAGCAGAGAGGTGTTTATCTGAAAATTACACTTGGCAGCTATTGCACATGTAGTTACTCTTATTCCCACAGTGAGTCATTCAGAAAACAGCTCTCAGTTTTTCTAATGTGAATTTGTTTAGATTGTCCCAGAATGTTAAAATTACCTGGCCAACTTCCAGGTTATTGCATTCCATTAACCAGAATCTTAGCAATGGTTTTTTAAGAAATATCAATCTCCTACAGTGAGTACTAACCTGAGCTAAACATATACTTTTAACAAAACCGCTTCGGAGAACATAGAATGGAGTGGCAATCATGATCCCCAGAGGATTCATCCATTTCCCCCCACCCAACCCATCTTGGAAATGTGAAGTGCTGGCTGTAGTTCTGCACTAATATCCTCAGAGAGGATATTATTTTTCTGAGAGATTGATCAGTCAAATAGGCATCCTTGTACAGGACCAAATTATATTTACACAATGGATTTGACCACACAAATAAATACCCAGTCATTCTGATTTAAAGTTTGCAACATGCTTTATCCTTTTCTAAAATCATAATCTAAAATCATTTATTTAAAATTCCTCTAGAAATGAAATTACCATTTAAAACCTGAAGACTCACTAAGAATCACTTTGAATTAAGCTCCATTCAACACTGTGAGGTGTAAACAATGCCTCTTAATTCAAATCCTGCTACAGACAATATGCTCTCATCACCCTGATTTTTTTAAAGTAAAGGAAAATAAGATTGCATCCTTTTGTGATTTAATTTGTGGAAAATAAACAAGAAGTATCCGCAGAAAAAATATTGTTATTGTAAAACCTACAAGGGTACAAGGAAACTTAGGTAGGATCAGACTAAGAGAGAGCTGGGTTGTAATTCCGCATTCAGCAAAAAGATCTCCAACTTTGTGACTTAGCCAAGCTGTTCTTAAGAGGGTCCTTGGACCATAAGGTGAAAGAGAGAAATGGGAGGTATGGAAACGGGAGGTAAAATAGATATAAACTCAATAGACCGAATAACAAATACAGCAACGAGATTTCTAGGATAGTTTCAAAGAGGCTACCATTGCACCTAAGCGACTTTTCAAATACCTAAAACGACACAGACAAATTGAGAAGTGGGGGAGAGAGAAGAAGTTGGCAGAAAACGCAGAAGGTACTTCCTCCCCCCCCCCCCGCCGCCGCTGCGCCTCAGCCTTTCGGGCGCCTCCTATTTCCAAACTGCAGTGTAGTTCCACCATAACTTTCCGAGAGTGAAAAAACCGGAGAAAGCAGAGCCCAATTCAGAAAACTATAGCGAGCTACGATCCTAATCCCAGCAACGCACCACTCTCCAAATCCTGAGGTCAAGCGCCCTTGATGTGGCCGCCGAAGCTTCGCACCCCCTCTGCCCCGCCTTTCGACAGGGTCCGTCGCTCGCTCGCTCGCCTATCCGCCCACTCACCTGGACTCTGGAGCAGGGGGAGGAGGAGGAGGAGAAAGAGCGGGGCACGCATTGAGGGGAAAGGAGCGTCCTCGGGGACCAGTTTGCCTAGCAAAGAGTGGGCGAAAAGCGCGCTGAAGCGGTTGAGGAGGACTTCCTTGGCGCCTGGCGTATTTTAAGCTCGGAGCGGCGAGATACTCCATACCCATAGAGTGAGGGATATATATGCAGTGCCGCCGCCACCACTGAGAGGCCGGCAGTCAGGCAGGGCGGTCAGATGAAGCTCGACGTCAGCCGGGTGGGGAAGGAAACAGGTGCGCCTCGGGTCAGTAGACATCACCCAGTTGCGTGTGGCGCAAAGAGCGAGCAAGTCGCGGAGGCGGACCGGCAGCGGCAAGATGGAAAGCCGTCGGATGAGTCATCTAGGGTCACGCTCTTTACTTGTAGTCTCCAATGGCTGTAGACGTCTTCTCAGCTATACAGAAGTGGAAGATCGACTAGATGAGACCCAGGGAGCTGAAGGATAAGGCCGTCCAGTAGCCCTTTTATGTTCAGAATGGATTGTCATGGGACTTGGGGAGATTCCAGCCACATTTTCCTTTCCAGGCATTTTCCCTCTGGCATTGTGGAAACAGTAACTGTTTTCAAACTTGGCAATTTTAAGATGCATAGACTTTAGCTCCCAGAATTCCCCAGGCAGCATGCAGCCCTATAACTCAAGAAGCAATCTGAAATGACTAAAAAAGTGGAAGGAAGAAATAACCTAATCTTCACATTATTTCCCTGTGGGAGGCAGCTGCACTGTAGTTGAGGATCACATCACACTTTTCATCATCCACTGCATAGTAGCATAAGATATGTTCTGAGTTGCACTTAATCATGGTACAACTATAGCCTGGTAATATCATTGGCTGCCTTGTCAGGATGTTGCCCTCATCTCTCTAGTCCAATGGTTCTCAACCTTTTTAATGCCGCGACCCCCCAACCGGTCGTAAGTCGAGGACTACTCAACTGGTGCAGCACCGTTTGCAGAATGGGACTTTTGGTGGGCTCATCAGGGCAGAGACAGCCTGGACAATTCCTATTGGCTTTTGAAAGCCAATAGAATTAGACTCTATTCAAGAGAGTCTATTCTATTGGCTTTCAAAAGCCAATAGAATAAAAGGGAGTGGCACAGCTAAGGAAAAGGGGGAAAAAAATGGCGGACTGCGTTGTTTGGTGACCCCCGTGAAATGGTTGTTTGACCCCAAATGGGGTCCCGACCCACAGGTTGAGAACCACTGCTCTAGTCTATGAATGAGACAGGCCATAATAACTTTTACCTGGCCCAAGGATAGCCATGAGAGTGTAAAAAATGGCCTAATTGCAGCTGCCAGTTTGATTTTTGTGCCTCCCCATCAGGATGTCCCTGGCTGCAACATTAAAATAATGTTTTCCCCATATTAGGAAACTATCCAAAGGCAGCATGAAGGTGCATAAAACCTTTCAGGTTTTGTCATATGCAAGCTCTACCTGGGCACTACAGGTACTGGAAAGAGACAACTGAGCTAAGATAAGAACTGGCAATGGGGGCAGCATATGTGATTCTGGTATATTTTTGATCCTGACGGGCTCATGGTTGATTCAGCCTTCCTTCCTTCTAAGGTTGGTAAAATGAGGACCCAGATTGTTGGGGGCCATATGCTGAATCTGTAAACCACTTAGAGAAGGCTGTAAAGCACTGTGAAGCAATATATAAGTCTATGTGCTGTTGCTATTTTCTTCCAGTTCTGTAGGCAGTACTGTAACTTGACAAAGAAAAAAGACCCATAGTATTAGTATTTGAAGCACATGCAATTTAGCATTTATAATTTATAAATGACCGTGATAGCTTTTGATGCTGTTGACACATATACATCTCGCAAAGAATGTCCCTGAAATTGGATGCAATTGCCTAAGTACAGTATCTGCTTCCAATGTTACAAGACTTATTTTGACTATTGGAAGATTTATTTAGTTTATTTAGTTCCACTCAAGGTTCTTCGTTTCTTTTGCTATCCTGACGTTTCAGTTCTTATACATTTTTATTTGAAAATAAGCACCACTTAATATTATTTCTTAGACATATGAAATACATATGAGTTTTGCATGTGTGTGTGTGTGTGTGTGTGTGTGTGTGTGCATGCATGTGTAAAAATTGTAAAGTAAAAATAATGGGCCTCTATATCTAATAGCATAATGGCTGGTCATCCTCTAATTCTAACTCTTTATACATTCAAGATGTAACAATGCTGTATTGAGCATCAGGATACAAGCAAACAATGTGATTCCAGCAACATGCCTATGTGCCAAGGTCAGGTTTATTTGACATTGCTCCCATTCTCTGCTGTTTCTTTGATAGTCCTTTTATGTATATTAGGTTCCTTCTCTTTCTGTTTCTGTTCCATCCTTGTCTTAGACTTCAACTGGGCCCTTATAGTTGACCCCCCCCCATCTTAGTTCCTTCTTGACTCTTATTTTTTGAGTCCAATCTTCATTGAGTGGAAAATCTGTAGCACCTTGTCACGGGTTCCTTTATGTATACACGTTAATGAGCTCCAAAACTCCAAGAGAGCCAACCCAATCCCACCTGGCCTCTGGGCAACACACCCACGAGTGTTTAAAGGCTAGAACTCACAGTTTACTATACCACTGCTCCCCTATTCTACTACAACTTCTGTTCTTCCACTATTTCTCTTTATGAAACCTGTTTCTAGAGAACAGTAACTCTTCCATTTGCCTGTGTTGTTGAAGGCTGTTTGAGTTTCCCCAAACTAACACAAATTGTCTTCCCTCACATTAAGACCAGGCAGCTCCCAACTGCCTCTCTACTCAGCCTTTATAGAAACATATGTGCTGGACTGGTTAAGGGAGAGGTCTTAAAAGGACAGGGGACCAGCAGACCAGATCCTAGCCATTTTGCAGGCAATCTCATAATCCCTTAATCTAGTCCAGTGTTTCTCAACCTTGACAATTTTAAGGCATGTGGACTTCAACTCCCAGAATTCCACAGCCAGCATCCCAAAAAGAAAGCCCTATTGTTTTGTTCTTGAAACTTTCCTTCACCTTTCCTTGAGGTTAACGAGAATGGCCACAGACACTTGATGCATACAAAATGGCTTTCATCTCTTTCCCGGTTAGGAAAGATTCATTTTAGTAGCCCTAGAAAGTCCAGCCAAAATAGACAGAGTAAGTAGGAGCTTCATTTATATGAGGCACCTTTCTCTTTTCCATTCCTCCTGTGTCATTTTCCTCTAGATATAGGTTACCACATTTTCTTCACCTATAAATGGAAACACTGAATTTGCGAAGGGGAGGGATCAAAGATTTAGGATGAACAGATGCCATATTTGTTATTGTGTGTGTTTTGAATTTTCAAAGCAGCATCAATATTCTGTCAAAGTAGGCATTAATATACTGCATTTATTTATCAAGCTTAACCTATTACTTTTCAGCCCAGGGCTTTGACATACTCAAAAATTTTTTTTAATAAAAATAAAAATAAAATAAAATGTAACAGACTTTGTTTGGTTAGATCCTGGTCAGTTAAATTGGTTTCTAAGAACAAAAAGAGAATTCTAGTGTAATAATAATTCTATATCTCTGGAATGCAAAGTAAGCAGAGTATATCTTTCATGCCCAATTTCCCAAGGTTATGGCAACAGAGGGTGGCTAGTTGCAATCTAGAGACATTAAGTTAGGGTGAATAGATCAGAATAAAAACATAAGTATGTATGTACTATTGCAAAACAAAAGAACTGAATTGTAAAATGGCTTCAATTTTGTTAAATCAAGGAAATATAATTAATAGTGATTTTGAGTACTCTTCATAAAATAATCATATGTTTCTGTTTTTGTTCACGTTTCAGTTATATTTCAGGAGGGTCCAAATTCTTTAGTAAGTTGTCAAGGAGCCATGGCCAAGCTGTTGCTGTAAAACAACTCCATATAAATGTTGACTTTAGGCTGGCATTCTTACAGTACAGTTCTTTGATGTAAGAATTCTTTCTAAGGGCTATTGTCAAATACTTGGTGATTGAAGCAAGCAGCAGGGATGACGGGACATCCCTGCCTCATTCACCTTCAGAACTGAACAATAGAAACTGCTGATTATTAACCTTTACCATATAGTTTTAATAGTAACTTGTTCCAGGACAACAAATGGCACATAGCTTCTTTTTTAATAATTTTACTATTCCATTGTCAAAATCTTTCTGAAAATCATATCATGGTCAGCTGCAAACTCTTGACTAGGTAAAAGGTGTTGATGACTGGTCTTAAATTTGTGATTTAGGGATGGCTGGTTATCTATTTAAATTGATAGGAAAGCAATGCACTCTAACTCTTCAGAGATTGAAAAGATTGGGCTTTGGAATATGAATCTTTCCCAAGTATATTCTTACTCCAATTCTTACTCCTATTCTGATTGTATTGTGAATAAAACCACTGACTTCCTCCCCTGAAACTGCAGAACAGTCTTCTGCAATTTGTAATAGCTCCTTCATTCATTCACAAGTCCACACTTGTTCCTGGATGCTCAATGTCTGCTCTACAAAATGTATGGAAAAATATTTGTATGCTTAATTAAGATTCTAATTTCTTTAGATTAATGGTAGAATATCTCCAGTGTTTTCAATATAATTATTACATGTCCTTCCAATTCCCATTGGAAATAAGCTTTTTCCTAGGTGTTTATCTCAGCATCAGTAAAGTTTGATAAAGTTTATCAAAAATTAATTGTGGGATTTTTGATCTCATAAAATTTGTTAATCCTTGTTGGTGTTCCTAGAGCTAAAAATGCTTCTGATCAAATTTAAATGTCAATATATTTTTAGTTGAAAATATTACCAGTAGTTAGCACAGGAAATGGTGAAACTAATTAGTCTGCAAACAATCCCAGCGTATATTCAAATTTTCCATATTTGTTAAAAATCAATTTTAAAGTCTGGTTAGCTCATAATGCAGATTTAGCATGAGAAAATATATCAAAATTCAGTTTTTCAAAAATTCAAGATCAGTTTGGTCGCTAGGGCTTATAAACAAAGCATGGTTAAAAACACCTGGCTCAGTAAATGAATGGAGCCAGTATTCTCAAAGATAGATTCCAGAAAATTATTACCTAATTTTTTTTTACTGCAAAATCAAAGTTTCCTTGAGCTTTATAAGACTGTATTTTTAAATATATATATACTTTGTATGGTATTTCAAAGTTTATTATCTTAATGATAAATATATTGTCTTTGAGGCATGTAATATATTATCATATTTTTCAAAGCTTTTCCTAACAGTAAGAGTTAGTTATACAAAACCATTTAGAATTTGAATTTTATCACACATTCAAAACACCATGTGAATAATAATTTTCATTTGGAAGTCAGTTTGTTGTACTCACTCATGGTGCCACATTAGAGAAGTAAGTTGTTCCTAAACAAACTTCTCAGTTTATTTAGTTCGAAGGACAATTGTGTTATTGGTCAGTAAACATTCCTATATAGTAGAGGTGTCAAACTGCTGACCCACAGGCTGGTTGCATCATTCTTTTCCTTCATGGGGTCACCAGATATACTAGGAAGCATACAGTTAAGAATCTAATTTAGGGAAAACTCAGAGAAATGTGTGGCTGCAAATGAGGGAATCACAAATGGGGCTAGTACTTAAAAACCTCTTTCCTCCAGTGCTATTTTTGCCTTTTGTCCTTAATTTTTCTATTCCTGAAGTATTTTCTGCTCATCTAAAGTAAATGGTGATGTGAACCACAGAAAGGAACTGTGAATTGTTGCACCTGTGAATTAAGTCAATTGTTCCACCTGTGAACTTGCTAGTGACCTTAGATAAGCCAAAAAGTTCCAGGTCTCTATCTAGTATAAGGAATATGCTATTCCCCTATTTTAAAGGATTGTTCG